CAGACTGGCTCTCAATTTATTAATGTATCAGTTTCTGTCCCTGATGATCTTTTAGGGCAAGGTTTAAAAAAAGTGAGTGATTTTTTTTTAATTTAGAATTTAACCTGAAAATAGTTCCTGCAAAGTCAAACATGAAAATAAAAATTAGGCAAACCATCCAATGAGGTAATCAACATTACATGTTTAATCCAAGGTGAACGTCAATCCTAATTTCTGAATTCTGAAGACTATTTTCAATTATGTCAAAAAATATAGTAAAAGCTCACTTATATAATATGGCCAACATTGGTAGTTGTTTAATTATAAAAGTGAGTAACAGTGGAGAGTTGCAAATATTAAAATGCATACTAATACAATTTAACTGAAAATATATAAACATATACTCATTTACCAATTTTCTATAAGTAGAGCCAAAAGCTTTTCTCTACATATGTATCTGCTAACTATATTCCTTCCTTCCTTCCTTTCTTCCTTCCTTCTTCCCTCTCTTCTTCCTCCCTCCCTTCCTCCCTTCCTTCCTTCCTTTCTTTGGTGGTACTGAGGCTTGAATTCAGGGCCTCACACTTGCTAGGCAGGCGCTCTACCACTTGAACCATACCCCTAGCCCTTGTCTTTTTTTTTTAATGGATTGAAAGTTTTATTGTTTTTAAGCAGCCAAGTGCACGTTCTTTAGCCACATTATTTTCTTGCCTTTTCCCTAGAGAACTCCATTTGCTTATCACAGAAACAGAAAGAATATTTTGTTTTTAGAGTCTTACTTGATTTTTTCATGTGAAGCTTAATGAAATTACATGTTAACAATAAGCACAAATGGTGCCAGTGGATTTGTGGACAACCATAATTGCCTTGGGAAACTTTCCTTGACTATTGGAAGAGCAAGGAAGTTGACTTATTGGAGAAAAGCATGCATAGGCCAATGGCACTAGCCAGATATTTTATTGAGATTATGGGTAGTACAGGTCATCTTGGAGAGTTAGTTAAGTGAAGTCATTTAAGCACAGTCTACTTTGTTATGAGATACACTAAAATAAAGTTCTCAGTGCAAAATTAGTTTTGGAACAATCAAACTGAGAAAAAAAGAACTAAAATGTAACTAGGCACAGATAAAAGCCTTGAGTAATCAAAGTGCTTTGATATCTTGGATTAAAAAAAAGATTTCATGAATTTAAGACACTGAAGAATTAGTAAGAGAAATGAAAAAGTAGATTTCAATGTAGGAAAACTGACCTTTAGCCTTTTATTCAAAGATGATTTGTTATGGTACACCTACAGTAACGAAGTTATTTAATCTCCTTGAAACCCAGTTTCTTCTGTTAAATTGGAATTAGAAAAAGGCTGGTGGTTTGGCTCAAGCAGCAAAAGTGCCTGTTTAGCAATCATGGAGACCCTGAGTTCAAACCCAGTGCTGCCAAAAAAAAAAAAATTGGAATAGGCATTCCTAATTTCTTACTAAGATGCATCATTATAATATCCAGAATATTTTAGAAATGTGTTCTCAGGGACAGAGACCACACCCTATTCACTTTTGTGATCCACAGTATTTTTGAGGACATGACCCCTTAAAAAGTAAGAGTCATGTGACCAGAAAAATAGTTGCCTCCCTAGTATCCACTGACTGAGAAACTCCTTGCATGCACAGGAGGGCTTTTGTGTCCCTTGCAGTAGTATCTCAACCACTGCATCTGAGATGCCCTGGTCAGGAGCCACATCTCCATATCATTTAGCACATAACTCCTGCCCATGGTACGTGATTGATAGTTGTTGGGCTTTCAAAAGCAAAAGGCACCCTAGCAACAGTATTTATATTACACCAGGCGTGGTTATTGTTGTACTGACAACATGACTGTTTTGTATGAAATTTCTTTTTCATTAGAGAATTTATTTGTGATGGCAACTTCTCTGCAGTGCAGATGCCTGAGTGACACCTGGATCTGGAGAATGGTGCCATTGTCAACTAGAAATGTGGCCACAGCGTCTGCCTAACCAGAAGGATTCGTCTCAACCTTTCCCTCTCTTGGTATAGACAATCAAGAGTGATTTGTTGCCACTTTACATATTTATTAGTTATAAGCATTATTAATTTCTTAGTCATGTAACAATCTAATAAATCCAAGTAAACCAATAGCATAAAGATATTATTGATGGCATACATACTACTAGTATTCAAATTTTACATGCATGTAGTTTTTTTAGTGTTGGGTATTGAACCAGGGTCTCATGCATGCTAAGCTCTACCATGGTTCTACATTCCCAGACCTTGATAGTGAAATTTTAAGTACCTGAAGAAAAAAAAATCACAAGCCAGATGCTCTATATTGGACTCCATATTTATTTGTTTATATTTAAGTTTTAGAAATTTTCAGCCTTTTCTTCTTAGAATTTCCTAGGTTTTATCTGAATTCTCTGAGTAATATCCTATCCTTTGGTTCCATCTATATATTTGTTGATTGCAGATTCAAATTCCCAAGTGGTTGCCTAATCAGAATCCATTCCTCACGTCCTCTTGAAGGAACTGATTAATTAGGTTAAGGCACAGTCTCAACAAAACTAATTGGACTACATTCTATTTAAGTAGGAGGTTTTCCCTCTTGTGAGAGTCTTCTATTCATGGAAAAGAAATAAAGTCTTCTTGTCAAAAGTTATTAAGACATTCATATATGCAATACATTTTTCAATTTTCAAACTTAAAAGAATTGTTTAAAGTCAAGAAACAGGTTTTCATAAGAAATTGTATAAGATTATGAAATACATGACTAATCATTTTAATCTTAAGGTATAAATGGTGACATCAAATACATTTTCTCCTCTTCTCCTATCTTTGTTTTCCAAAAAGTGATAAAGCCAAGAGTAGCTTTTGGTTTTTGACATGGATTCTATGATTGGTTATCTTACTTTTGTAAATGATTAATGAAACAATTCTTATGGTAATTAATGCACATTTAGTAGCTTTATAAACCTAAACATAATGTGGAATATTGTTTATAACTAAATTCCAGGCACTGGAATCCAGCCATTGACTAAAATATTGGATTCCTTTAGAATAACAAAAATAAAACACACAAGAATATTTATATCAAGTACAAATTTGACAGGCTCATAAAATGAGGATACTCGAATCCATGGAATGTTATGAAATTTACCTGGGGGATGGACGAGCAGTGGGAGGCAGGTATTTAAGGCAAAGTGGACCAGCATGTACAATGACATGGAATTACTGAGCAACATAGTTTGTCTAAAGAACCATTAGTACTTTAGTGTATTTGGAACCTAGGAAATGAAGTAGGGTTGAGTGGAAGAGTAGTTGGACAGTCAGGAAGGTTAGGAGCACACTCGATGGAACGTTGTTCATAATTTGAGATTGAATAAGGCAGAGAGGTGAATAAATGGGCTAGTGCACTAGTGTAAGCAAGGTTCTGAGGTAAGGCTATGATAGCAGCAAAGAGGAAAGGGAGAGAAAATATCAAGAGTTACTTAAGAATGGAATTCAACTTGGCAACAGTGACTCATGCCAAGAGTCAGGCCAAGATTGGGAAGGCCAAGATTGGGAAGGCCAAGATTGGGAAGATCAAAGTTCAAGGTCAGCCCAGGCAAAAGTTAGCGAGACCCTATCTCAAGCTGGGTGCCGGGTTATATACCTGTCATCCAGCTGTGATTGGGAGGATTACAGTTCCAGGTCAGCCTAGCAAAAAAGTTTATGACTCCACCTCGACGGAAAAAAGTTGGGCATAGTGGCAAGCACCTGTCATCCAGCGGCAACAGAAAGCATAAAAAGGAGGATCATATCCAGACAAGGCTAGGCAAAAAGTGAAGCCTTATCTCCAAAATAACCAGAGCACAAAAGAGTTGGAGGCATGGCTCAAACAGTAGAGTGCTTAACTAGCAAGCATTAAGCCCTGAGTTCAAACCCCAGTACTGTTAGAAAAAGAAAGAAAGAAAAAAAAAAAGAGAAAGAAAGAAAAGAATTGGAATTCAGAACAAGTGCATGGAATGTAAAAGAGAGAAGCTTAGAACATTTCCTGAGTAAGGCTTAGATAACTGAATTTCATGAATGGGGTCAATCTCAGAAAGGAACAAAGGAGGAAAGATAGTAACATTGGTTGAAAAGTCAGATAAATTGAGAAATGCAGCAATGGTGAAGAGAGGTGTTCTATTCTGAAGGCAGATGGATATACAGGTTAGAAAAGCAGGGATGGAACTACTAAGTAAAGGTTCAACCATATTTAGCCAACCAAGGAAGGGATGAGACTTC